CTTTCTGGAGGGTGTGCTGGTGTGAAGGTGTCCTTCAACAACTACCGACAAATGAATTTCTAACCCCAGGAAAGAAACACCTAAGGATAAATTAAATAAATATATTTAATATCACCATACGGAATTAATGGTGTTCTGTCTTTGGTTATAATACTACCCCTGGGCGACTTCAACCATATAAATGAGGAAGAAAGGAGATACCATGCGTGAATGAATTGGGGTACCAGGTCACCAAAAGTATCTAAGAGGTGGCAGCCCCTACAGACAGCAGTCTGAGCCTGTTGTCTCAGCTGACCGTGCTTACTGGGAACTCCTGGGCACCCAGCCGCCCTTCTCTAAGGAAGGGTGAAGGAGTCCTTAGGGAAGCCGGAAGAAGGGGGTCTGTGGAAGGAGGGGATATCAGCAAGTCTATTTCGGGAGGACAGATCTAGGCTTCCAGACCCGTTGGCGACCTTGCCAAGACTGGGACTCTGAACCGAAGACTGTCCTCCCCATTCATCGTTCACAAACTTAGCAAAAAAAAAAAAATTACACAAGGCTTTTCGGGTTTCGTTCTAAATAAATTTTGCATTTTTAAATATCAGACACGCGCAGTAACGGAAATTTAGAGAATAAAAAAGTAAGACGACTGTTATAGAGAGTATTTTACTGCTGCTATGAAAATAAGAAGGAAGACGGTACTCTCGTTTGGAGACCTGCAGCCTCCACACACACTTAGTCACCTAGAATTTGAGTCCCGATCTTTCTGGGCCGTTTTAAAGATGACGAGGGTAACTTTGTCTTCCTCATCCTTGCTCGGCGGTGTTGTTTTCCCAAAGAAAAATGAAACAGGAGAGTGATCTGTAATTTAGAAGTGACTGTAAAATAAGCCACGGACTGGTCTCCAGACTGGAAGCACCTGAAATATTTCCCGAGGTCTGTGAGAAAGGCACGGCTTTGGCTTGCAACACTGAACATTTCTTTAAAAGCGAGACTGTTCTAAAAGAGTTACTTCCTTCCTCCTGGGGTGGACCGGTGGCAAGATCCCCCCTCGGTGTGGGGCTAGTTCTGGGGTTTGTATGAATGGGGAGTTTATGTCGATTCCTTTTCCACCTGGAATCCCATGTGTAGAAGGCCCAGGGTTGGGGGAAGAGTGCGTGCGTGGGAGGGGGGGCTACCCCGGCGCAGCCTTTATAGTTAATTGGTTCTTCATTCTTCCTTGAACAGGATGGGGTGCGCCCAGCTGCTCACTTTTTCTGCTTGTTCAGGGGATCTCGCGGTGTGGGCTATCAGTCACAGAGGGATGGGATATGGTGTCTGTGGCCTCTGGCTCCCCCTGGGGAATTGGGGAATTCCAGGACACTGTCAGGCAGCACACCGCTTTCGTTTGGCGCGGGTCTCTTTGCAGGACGAATCCAATGCCTTTTGACTCAGGGGCACATCTGCATCAGGGATGCGCGTTCTATGGGGCCAAGGTGAACTTCTGTAGTCTTCCCTCTGGCTCCTGTTTCCGATTACAGGACACTGGAAACTGTCCAAGCTTCAGATTCTTTCCGGAACTCATTTTTTGCTCACTGCGTGGCTCGTGAGTCGATTCCTGCCGAATAGTCATCCGCCTCCAGAAACGCTGGCACTGTGGCGCTCGGTTCGACGTTGCCCACGGTTTAAAACAAACTACACGGTTCCCAGGGGGGCACGCGTTGGTACCGGGCTCTGGGAAGGAAACCTCCCTTGGTCTCTGTGTGAAGTCCAACATCTGCTGTTTATTTTTTTCTTCGAGGGAATTCGAGTCCCAATTCCTCCGTATGGTCGTATTCAGCCTACAGTTTCATTTCTGCTAGTTCACAGATGGGCTTCAGTCTCAGGATCCTCCAAGGAGCAAGAAATAAATTCATTGTTTGGTGCTGCAAGGATTATTGAAAAGTACAGCTCACTTAAGCCCGTCTTATTATGGAAAACCTCAGACACTCCCCCATGAGCAAAAAGGATTTAAAAGGTGGAAGGTGAGCCGGAACGTTTCTGCCCAAAGGGCAGAAATCTTGAGAAAGGAAAGCGGAAAGGAGAACGTGAGAGAGGTTGGGCCACTTTCCCCTATCCATCCCAGGGACGTCTTCCTTAAAAATAGCCAAGTCTGAACCCTAGAGTGCCCAGCCCCCCTCCTCCCAGCCGCCTCCCTTAGTCTGAGAGGAGCCTGGGAACTTCTAGAGGCAGCCGATAACCCCCTTCCAGCTCCAGCCAGCAAGGCCTTGAAATGCTCCCCGCTCCTGGCAACGCATAGAGGTCGCCTTGGTTCCTCTGGTTCCAGCAAAGGAAGGGAGCAACTGAAGGGTCGGAGGGAAAGAGAGGGAGGGAGGGAACGGGGGCAAAACCAAAAGCGCCCAAGAAACACGTCTGGTTTGAGACTCAGCCCACACACCGGGAGAGATTTGGTGTGTGGGACCCAAAGTGTGGGGGTTAAGTCACAGGAAGCTGGAACAAATGTCTCCGTACCAGGCGCCTGGAAGAGTCAGAGAATTGTCTGGGGCTTTGGGCTCACAGCTCTTAGCCCAGCAGGAGAGGGCCTGCTGGAGGCCTGGGAGGGAAAAGTGGCCTAGGAGAGCCCGGGTTGTAGCCGGCAGCAAGCAAAAGCTAAGAATCACGCGACTCTCTTAGAGACTCCACTCGAGTTTCTCAACAATCACACGGAGCAATATCCCCAGCTTAACTCGAGGGCAATCTCCTTTTATTTTATTTTGGTTTTTCAAGACTGGGTTTCTTTGTGTAGCCCTGGCAGTCTTAGAGCTTGCTCTGTAGACCAGGCTAGCCTCAAACTCAAAGATCCGCCTGCCTCTGCCTCCCGAGTTACAGGGATTAAAGGTTTGGACCACCAATGTCCCCAGGCAAAAACAGGGCTTCCTGCCTGCTAGGTTGAGCAGTCTACCAGCTGAGCTACGTCCCCAGCGCGGCCACACTCTTTCTAAATCGTTAGGAGCTTAGTTTACGGGTGGTGAAAACGCTAGGCCACCACCTCGCTAAGGCCCATCCCACACACCAGGGAGAATGTCCCTGGCAGCGGCCAGAGACCTTGGGGACCTGGAGGAGTGACACTTGGTTGCTCCCTCAGACACTAAACCTCAAACCTCAGGCTGGTCCTGGTCCCCAACCTTAGTACATTTTGATCTATGAGGGTTGCTACAGAAAGGCTGATCTGAGACCTGTTGCTCACAAGTGGGAGGCGGGGAGGGGGGAGAGAAAGAGGGACGGAGGGGGAGGGAAAGAGAGACTTTTCTTCCGTGGGCCATGGGCCTTTGGCTTCGCGTCTCTCCTGCTCACCGGGTGACGGAGGATTCCTTGTAAATAAAGCAAGGGCCATACCATTCTCTTCGCGCATCTGAGAGGCCCAAATCCGAGTTTGCTCGGGGAGGTCTCTGATGCCCAGGGAAGGCCTCTGAGATCCCCCAGAAGACCGTCCCTAAAACTTTACCAGACCTTGAACCTGTGGCGCCTGATTCTGTACAAACACTGTTTAAAATGGGGTGGGAGGTGGGGGGCTGGACCCTAGTCATGGGACCCCCTATTCCGGGCCGTCAAAGGGCTCAAGCTGGCTGCACCGCAGGCGATGTCGGTGAGTCAGACCAGAGAGAACAGGACTTCAGCAGCTCAGGAACCCTGACGGCATCAGTTTTCTCTCCTTTCCTATGGCCGCTCTGAACCTCGGCCCCTTGGGTTTGGAAAAGAATTCCCCCAGCGCAGCCGCGCTCAGTCCTTCCTCCGGGATTTTCCTGAGATCCCCACGGGTTGGCCAAGGTCCCACGGGTTTTTCCTTTCAATCCGCTCAGCGTCCCAACCTGTCCCTATCTCCTGGGGTGCCTGTGCTCCGGCCGGCGTTGGCAATCTGCTGTTGATCTCCAACGACGGGAGCGGATGCCATCCGGAGCTCTCTGGCTGCAGCAGGTTTCTTAACGGGTGGTATATTCCAGCCCCCTTCTAACTCCTCTAATCTTGTCTGAGAAACCAGTGTTGGGGAGAGAAATGCGGCCTTAAAAAAAAAAAAGTCAGTTTAACCCAAAGCGTGAGAGCCACCAGCGAGTTGTTATCTGCGGCTGAAGGCTGTGGTAATCGATGGGGTTATTTTTACGCGGTAATAGGGCCCTGTGATTGCTCTATTAACCTTTAGACCTGTCTGAGGGACTCTCCCCTCACCGCCCCGCTGCGCCAGGGCCTGCAGGCCCTGACGCCGACACCAAACTCTGGTCTGACACCCTCCCTGCCCCCACTCTGGGGTGGGGGAGCTACAGCCCCCTAGATGAGTTTTAACGTTGGAGACAGGCTCCTCAACCCCCTCCTCGTTCTTTTGATTGGATCCCAGTCGCGGTGGGTCGAAGAGAGCACAGGGACAGATGAGAAGGGACAGGAGGCCTAAGGAGTTGGAAGCAGTATGGTACGCGTTTTGTATAAATACATAAACTCCTGCGCTGGTGGCGGGTTCTCGGCGCCTTGCAGTCTCCACCGACTGGTGGGAAGGTGAAAAGGACTCTTGGGTCTCTAGGCACAGACCTTAAGGTTCAGTTCGGGTTTTAGTACCTCCTGACGCTCTCTCGAACGCATTTCAGGGGCAGGGTAGATCTGAGGCCAGCCAGGCACCCCGGGTGACCCAGTGGCCCCACGGGCAACCAGGAAAGAGCCCAGCGCTCGGGGTCACCTTCCCCTCTACCAGCCCCGCCCCTTGCCCACCGCTCCAGAACGTGAAGCACTGAAAGTGGGAGAAAACAGGAGGAACTAGTGACTAAAACAATCCTTGTCGGAGCAGCGCACCACCAGGTTGTCGGACAGCACCGTGGGCCGGTGTCGGCACCGGTACCGAGCGCTTTTGGTTCTCTGAGGTCCGCGCGCATGGACTTTGCCTGCTGGGGGAGCTTTGGGAACAGCCGGGTTGGCGGACGCCCGGCAGAGGTGCAGCCACTGCCGCGCACCCCCGCCCCCCGCCCTTGCACGTGACTCCTTCAGGCCAGTCAGCGCCTACGAGCCCAGTGCGGGGGCCCGGGGCGGCGAGCCGGGAGCAAGGGACGAGCCGGAGGCCGGCACAGTGGCCGCCTGAGGCTCCGCCGCCGCTGCTACTCCGCGGGTGCTCGGAGGTCGTGCGGGCTCTCCGACAGGCTCGAGCGGGCCAGGTAGGGCTCCCCCACTCCCTGCTCTTTTCCAGGGTAGGCGAAACTCACCAGTCTCCTGCCCTGGTTTGTCTGGAACAGGGGGAAAGCAGCTAGTAAGTGGGAAATCAGCCCCCGGTCCCTGCAATGCCCCCAGATTGGCTAAAGCCGGCTCCACTTTTGACTTTGGCCTAGCAAGGACTTTATTTAAATCGAGTGAAAGCAAAAAACTTATGGGTACTCGCGAGCGTGTGTTTGGATTGTTTGGGAGAAACATGATCCCTTTTAATCGGTCCGGTGTGCAGATTCTCCAGTTCTGTTTTGCACCCCACAGGCCAGGGCCCGTGTAATCTCTCTGACCGACCGACCTGGGACAGGCCGCATAGCCCCCACACTTTTAGGGGCGCAGTCGAAGGAATATCTCCAACCTGCGACGCGGGGAATGCGGAGTGGCTGTGGCAGGCGACAGTAGGACCTGGGGGGGCAGGGCTAGAGGCACTCGGAGGTAGGCTCAGCGGCCTCCCGACCTTTTCTGATTTCTCTTGCTTTCTAGTTAACCTCCGCAAACTCTAGACTAGGGCCCATGATTGGTGTGTGCTGCACACTGCTGACTAGCGCCCACTCTCACTGCTTCAGAGAGAAAGCAGCCCAGGGCCGAAACCCCCACGGCGGACAGCAAGGATGTTCCTGGCTAGCCACCTCTAGCTCCTTCATCCATATATTATATCGCTTGGATGTGGCCTGAGAGTGAGCGAGCAGTTGTTATCACTTGGGAGAGAGATGTCTATGTGGCCAAGTTTCACCAGGTGGAAGGAAGAGGGGCTTTTCGGTTCTAAGGAAGAAGGTAGCGAGGGACCTGAGCCGTTGGCAGAGCTAGGGCAACAAGGCCGCGCTGCTGGGAAGCACCTGGGAGTTTATTTCCTGTACCTTTGGAAAAGGAAGGCAGGCAGGAATGACGCTTCGTGCGTCCAAAGAAAAAAAAGCTGCATGGTGAGGCCGGCCGAGATTCGTTTCTGAAGCCAGGATATTATTAGTTGGTTGGTGACAATTCTCAGTGTGGCGGTGCTAAAGCGACCGCATGAGCGCGAACCGCAAAAACCGCGAGCCGCACGGAAAAATCTGTAAAGGGACCCTTTATGGCGTTTCCAACTTTCAAAAAAAAAAGGGCTAAATTATTAAAAGAGAAGATATTTGCTTTCTGTTTGGGAACTTGGGGTGAAGTTCGTGGAGTGATTCGAAAGACTGAGAAAACTCTGGGCCAGGCTGGACTACTGTGAGAATGTGGAGGTCGCTGGGCCCGCTCACAGGCGGGAATCCACTTAAGGGAACTGTCTGGCCTTTCCAGAAAGAGAAAAAGAATTTTCTCCACCTTCTATTGTTCTAGTTACCCAACTTCAGGTTTAAGTATCAGCCATTTGAAACTGCAGAGCGCTTCGAAACGTAAGCCTGAGATCCCAAACTGATTTAGCGCTTACATTTTTTTCAAGCTTGCAAATTAGATTACAGAACTAAATCTCTTCCTTTGTTAGTCGAGAAAAGAAAATTTACAAACCACTATTTTACAACTTCCTGAGTTGAAATAACAGAAATTAAAATTAATTATGCCAACTACTTGATATAAAAAATTGTATGTGGCCGGGCGGTGGGGGTGCACACCTTTAATCCCAACACTCGGGAGGCAGAAGCAGGCGGATCTCTGTAACATCGAGGCCAACCTGGCTACAAGAGCTAGTTCCAGGACAGACTTCAAAGCTACAGAAAAAGTCTTTCTCGGGGTGGGGGGGTGGGGGACAAAACAAAAACAAAAAAGTAAGCAAAAAATTGAATAATGAATATTTTTATCAGTGTAAATCTATGTATTTATATATCGAAACCCTGAGATTTCTAGGAAGTTTTAAGCTTTTTGTCTTTCCTTTTAAAGGAAGAGTTGACGACCTCAGGTCAAATTTCATGTATCCATCCTCCAGTCAAACTTACTAGAAGGAAATATCCAACTGTCAAGCCAATAATTTATTGTATATTTTGAAAAAGTAAATACTAAACAATTTATCAGTCACAGTGTGACAGTGTACTTTGTCATGATTCCATTTTTGCTAGAGATGATGCAAAGATAATGAAAAAATTAATATGTATATTAAATGCCCCATTCCAGAACTTTTATAGTAATTAAGATGATGGTTTATTGTTAAGTATGAGCTACATCCCAGGCACTCTTTTGCTGTGTATTAGAGATCGGCAATAAAGCTGTTATACAGAATCTTCTGGGTGCCTGTTGTAACAGGTTTCTAAAGTCTGGTTATGAATGTTCTGTGTGTATTAAATTATAGTTGCCACCCATAATCCTCCAATGACTATAAGACACAGGTACCTTTTATATTTGCACTTTACAGATGAGGGACTGGGGTGTATAAAGTTATTTATTCAGGGAGTGGCAGACCTGGGCTTGTATTTAGTTCGTTTAATATTCTAGCTAATGTATTGTTGCACTAAAAAGAAAGAAACAAACAAGCAAAGGAAGACAGAAAAGGAAGTTAAAAACAAAAGAAAGAAATCAACCAAAAGAGGCCGCCTCTTAAAGGAAAATGAATGTGGATTGTGGATTTCAAATACTCAAGGCCCTCCAGCATCCCCAGCTATGTGTTTTTTGGGGCTGCAGCAAGTTTCAAACTCACCTATATTTCAGTTCCCTCTTAAGTAAAAACAACAAAATTCAGACACCTTTACTTAATGGAGGTGTCCCCTCCACACACACACACCATAGTCTCTGGTAATGTCCAACACGGGGTACCTGGAAGGATGCAATCAAGTATCAAGAATCAATTCTGCTTTTGATAGATTTTTCAATCTCACTGGAAAGAGCCAGCTTGAGTGCTTCCCTGAGTTCTGTAGTGACCTTGTTCAACTCTCCTGCTTTTCTGGTCCCAGTATACAGTCTGCAAAGTGTTTAAAATGTAACTATTTGCAGAAACGTGTGGCCTGTCTGATTTGACACCCACATGGTGCACGGTACGATTAAGGAGTTTCACAATCCTTTTTATGGGTTTGCCGACACTTGCTCATGTATAAACATTTAGATTCTACCTCTAGGTGCTCTTTTTTTAAGATTGCAAACAAAACTTTCGTAGGTTGCTGGTTTTTATAAAGTTTGTCACTCCCGCTCCCCACGCCAGCCCTGCCCCAATCTACAGTTCTTTCTTGTTTGATGAAGGAAATGTTTGAGGAAAGGTGAGGAAACAATTGAAAAATACAAAACGATGGAGATCTTTTGAGTCACTAGCATTCTCCGGAACTCCAAACCTTGTACTTACAGAATACTCTGGAAAAAAAGAAAGAAAGAAAGAAAGAAAGAAAGAGTGTTTGGAGAATAAGGTAAAATTAAAGTCCTTCCTGATAAGCAATATAAAAATAATTGGCCCTAATCGCAACCGAGAACTGCACGCAGAACTGCACGCCCGAGACCTCGTGTTTCTTAGGCGGTCCTCCAAGATACTTGCCACCGGCGGCCTGATCCGGATCAAACAAAGGCCGGGGCTATAGAAGGGCGGTTTCGTTCACTGTGTTGGAGAAGAGCAGGAAAGCGGGAAAGCTGACCGAGGCTCTGAAAGTCCTGGGCTGAACTCACCTGTGGTTTATTTCCTCTTTCAGGACTGCCACGGCAGTGAAGAGACCTTCTCGGCCCTCTTCGCTGGAGTCCTGCTGGAACTAGCGGTATAGCCTGGGCTTGCAAGAGGCGGAGTGCAGCGACTAGGCACATCCAACCGGTGGGTGATCCGAAGGTCTGCTCAGGGAGTTCGAGCCCAGCCTCGGCTACGTCCTGGGGCACCTCCAGCCTTCCAGGCCGGAAGGAGAGTCAGCCCTTCTGCACTACCTTCTGGAACAACCACAAATCCAATTTGGGATTTTTTTTTTCTGAGCAAACCAGAACCTAGAGGTTGCTCCTCTCATGCTGGATTTAATTCGTATATAGTTTGAGCGAGTTGGGCCACTCCCAATTGATTTTTGATCTCCGTTTTCGTGACAGTTCCGCACACCTACATTCTAATTCTTGTCGCTTTGGTCTGCTGTGCCCGCGTGGCTCCTTGACCCGCAAGTGAAGAGAGGACTTCGACGCGCAGAGCTTGGGGCGATGTACCAAAGCCTGGCCATGGCCGCCAACCACGGCCCCCCGCCCGGCGCCTATGAGGCGGGTGGCCCCGGCGCCTTCATGCACAGCGCGGGTGCGGCGTCCTCGCCGGTCTACGTACCCACTCCGCGGGTTCCTTCCTCTGTGCTAGGCCTGTCGTACCTGCAGGGAGGAGGAGGGGGAGCCGCGTCCGGAGCCGCCTCGGGTGGCAGCTCCGGGGCCGCACCGTCGGGTGCGGGGCCAGGGACCCAGCAGGGCAGCCCAGGCTGGAGCCAGGCTGGAGCCGAGGGAGCCGCCTACACCCCGCCACCCGTGTCCCCGCGCTTCTCCTTCCCGGGGACCACTGGGTCCTTGGCGGCTGCAGCCGCTGCCGCCGCGGCTCGAGAAGCCGCAGCCTACAGCAGTGGTGGCGGAGCGGCGGGCGCGGGTCTGGCTGGCCGAGAGCAGTATGGGCGTCCCGGCTTCGCAGGCTCCTACTCTAGCCCCTATCCGACTTATATGGCCGACGTGGGTGCATCCTGGGCAGCAGCCGCCGCCGCCTCCGCAGGCCCCTTCGACAGCCCAGTCCTGCACAGCCTCCCCGGACGGGCCAACCCTGCCCGACACCCCAATCTCGGTGAGTACTGAAGGAACTTGAGTCCTGTCTGGGGCATTCAGCTTTCCCAACTTTGTTAGGGTTGGGGAGCATCCTTGATGCGATGAGCCTTCTAGGAAGGCAGCCTAGATGTGGGTGGCTTGTGGTGGTGGTAGTAGTGGGCCATCGTGGTGACCTAGTGGCCTAGGCACTAGAGTCCAGCAAAGTTCTTTCGTAACTGCGTGGACTGGTCTGCATAGCCTACGGGCGACAGTGAGAGGTGTCGGGCTCTGTAGGGTCAGCTGGATGAGTCTCGCGGTCTGATCCCTGGGATTCAGCCCCCCACTTCCTCCATCCCTTCTGAGTCCTCAGCAAACCTGAGACCTGCGCCATTTGGCAGCCAGGTTGGAGAATCCCTCAGGGTGGCAGATGCCTTTCCGGTGGGGGGTTTTCACACCCGGAAATAATGACGAGATCAGTAAAAGAGACCGCCGCCAGAGGTGGGTTAAACCTCCAAGTTTCCTCGCGCGCACCGTGGGTCTCACGGAGCCACTCCCCTGCTCAGACCTTAGTGCAGAGGAGCTTCTTAAGAACGTCTGAGTTAAATGGAGACTTTGTAGGGCTGCAACGCCTAGAGCCGACTCTTCTTAGGAGGACTTGGTTAACATGAACGAAGGCTAGTATTACTCCCGTTCAGTGTCAGACCCGAAGGAACTGCTAACTTGCTCCTCTTATCCAATCAACACACTGACGTTTCAGAAGAGCCTGGGCTCTTGGGCTGGGGCGGGAGGGGGGGGGGAGGGAAGGAAAAGTGGCTAGTGCAAACTATCCAAATTCGTGTAGAATTTCCAGAAGGGTTGGAGGCGGCCTTTGGATGAAACTGGCTGTTGGGGAAGGGAGGAAGCACAGACTTGAGAAACAAAGTTAACATTTATTGACTACCTACTAAGTGCTAAAGCCTTTTGCGTTTGCTGTCACTTTGAAGAGTAAAGTCTATCCCCTGTCCCTCCCGGTGCTAGGTTGTCTCCGGAGTAGAGGGACTGGCTTTGAAGAGGTTTAAAGTTATTCTCTGACCCTGGGTGGCCATGGTAGGTCCCCAGGAGGGGGGTCTAGCCAAATATACATCCCAGGTAAACTGATTAACTGGTGGAGGTGGCGCCAGGGCTGGGTTTGTAGCTGCCAGTGTCCTGTCCTATCCCCTCCTCCTCTCCCAGCAGGCAGGGCCAAGCAGATGGCAGGCTAAGGAAGGGGGATAAGAGTACGGGTATGGGCTCAGACCTTTGAGACAGAGCAGGGTGGTTACTTCCACGTGGTGGAGGCTGGAAGCCGGCCTGCAGGGGCTTTGGCCCGTATTCCTAGAGAGGCCAAGTTCCCCTCAACCCAACCCCTAGTTTAAAATAAGAAGCGATGAACTGAGTGTAATGGCGCATGACTGTAATTCCAGAACCAGGAGGATAGCCTGGGCTACACAGCAGACCCAGTCTAATAAAAAAAAAATCTTGGAGATAGAATTTGGTGTTTGGATACAGCAAGGAGTGAAGTCCCTATCTAAAGATGAAGAAGACATTCTGGTGTTCAGTTTATAAAAGCAAAACAAAGTAAGATTGTGTGACTGTACATGTGAGCCTGGGGGCTGAAGCTTTCTCAAATTCCAGGGTCCACACACAGCCAACAAAACAACAGGGGACACCTCTCCCCAGAGAGCTTGTGTTGGACTCTCATCTCTGTGGTACCAGGCAGTCCACGGAGCCACTGCATTCAGTTAAGTATTTAAAGAGGTGCTCTGGGATTGCCATGCCATGGGGGGCCCAGGCAGTTTGAAAACCCCTTGTCTTCCTTGGATGTATTTGGGAGATACACTCATTTTTCATCACACAGCCCCCAGAGGATCTGGCGATCTGATGGCATTACTTCAGTTAAAAGTGTTCTCTGTGAAGATGTTTTCTTCTTTAGCCCCACCCCAAGACAGAGGATCAAACAGAGTCCCTGTCAAGGGCTCTACCACTGAGAGACAGTCCCAGCCACTGTCCCTCCACATGCCTTATGTACTTATATACATGACTTATATATATGCCTTATATATACTTATATACATGCCTTGCCTGTGCATGGACATTAATAAATGCTTGGTAGCCTTAGTGAGAATCAATCATCCGACTAGCTGATGGTACCAAGTGATGGAAGGGTGAAAAGAACAAATTCTCTGATGTCTATTGCGAGGTCCTCTTTGGATGGATGTCATGACCACCAAGCTCATGTAGAGCCCCCAACCTCAGTATCACGTGGCTTTGGGCAAGCTGCCTACCTCTGTCCATCGCATCTCATGCTCTGTGGTGTGACTTCAGTTCAGCTCAACAGGCTTCAGAGCTGTCCTGACTTAGGTGGTCTGTGTGATGTCTAGTAACTGATCTTTTACAAATGATGGTTGCTTTTTATTACTTTTTCTAGGACTAAAGGGCTTCCTAGGACTTGAGAATTTTAGCATTAAGCCTGTGAAAGTCCCTGCTGAGCAGGGATGGTTGGCTCCCCTAAGTAGATGTGAGAATGTAGAAATGACTCTCCATGTGGTAAGGTAAGGGGGAGATGAGCTATGAGCAAAGCTGAGAAAGCGGGAAAGGAACTTCTCCCTAAAAGCCTGGAAGTCTTCACCTAGGTGGCACCATCTGCCCTGGGTCTTGTCGCTTCAACAGGCGTTTGCCAGGAAAGGAGCCTGAACCTGCAGTTTAAAAAAGGAAGGGAGAGAGACCGTCCACTCACTAACATGACACATACGTAGAAGCATGGAACAATACAGTACAGCTTGCCCTTTGCTTCAATAATAGATTCACCTCCACAGGTAAATCTCAGAGACTACTTCCTAAGTCTGAAATGGTTTTAATTTGTGTGGAGGAGAAATAAGCAAATACCACTATTCTTTTCTATGACATTGGACTGTTTTGCTATTAACATTTAACATCTAGCAAGTTCTTGTGTTGGCTCTTAGAAGAAGGCAGAAGTCAAAAGGATAAAAACACCAACAGGGGCGTGTGAAAAGACGACCTTGGCAAGAAAGAGATTATTACACCCTCACTGTAACATATGTGAACTTTAGTTCATTCCAAGTTCAACAGACCCAGGACCCTAAAGTAATTTGTTGGAAGCATTAGTTAGACACAATAATGGAATTCTGTGGCCTTCCGGAGGCAGGTACAGAGTCTTACTCATAGCTAGGTGCCTGGCACATGCTGGACTAGTAGCAAATATTTGAGTAAAGATCTGGGAGGTAATTGCCCCAGGACTCTGCCCTGCCCTGGTCAAACCACACAGAATGGCTACCGGTGTCCTTAAGAGGCAGACTAGAGCTGGGTGTGGTGGCACACACCTGTGACCCCAGAGCTCAGGAGGCTGAGGCAGGAGAAATGAGCACTCAAGGCTAGTCTCGGCTACATAGCAATCCCCTGCTTAAAAAAAAAAAAAAGAAAAAAAATACAAGTGGAGTCTCAGACAAGAAGAGAGCAGGATGGGAGAGCACTCTGAAAACCTGGGACCACTGGAGAATGCTGGCTCTGCCTGGTGCCAGAAGTGAGGAAGGGTAGAGGCTAGAAGAGGGTATCAGATGCCCTGGAACTAGAGTTAAGGGTGGTTGTGAGCCACCATGTGGGTGCTTGGATTCAAACCCAGGTTCTCTGCAAGAGCAACAAGTACTCTAAATTGCTGGCCCATCTCTCCATCCTGGGATAGATTCTTAAAATAGAAGATTTTTATTGTGTGTACAACATATCACAGTCTAATAGATTTTTGTGCCCGTTAAGATTTGTATAGACTTAAAGCCAAAAAAAGAGATCGAAAGAGAAATTAGACGTAAATAGACCTTGAAAGACATGCTATGCTTGTAGCTGTTACTGGGATATCTAAAAAATAGAACTTTCTAAAGGAAGAGTAATTCTTGTGTGTCTTAGAGACATAAGCAATCCTACTATTCTTAAAGAATCTAAAAACCATGGAGTTGCGAGAGGGTTCAATGAGACTAACAGGAGGAAAGAGATGTGTGTTTTGCCTGGTGCTTTTGAAACAAGTGAAAAGCGTTCTTCCATCTTGTGTGGGTGGGGCACATAAGGTTTAGGTCAGCAGAATATGCTGTAGTGTTTGCTAGGTCTTTGGGGGGATTGCTTTATCAATCAGGTCAGTTGCTTTCAGAGCTGGTTTGCTTAAACGGGGAACGCTGTGATCTCTGAAGTAGCCTGTTCAGTTTGAGAACAATTTGTCAGTCTTCAAGAAAATCAAAGTTGTGTAATTTTCCGGTTACCACCCTGAGCAGGTCAATCAGAGAGGGGGCTGGTTTGTGCTGCTAAGTGGAGAACCAATTAAATAAGGAAGGTGTGTTAAAGTAGCCTGGGGTGTGTCTCTGCCTCCAGTGACACTTGTCGTTTGCCGGATTGTGTCCCATGAAAAGGTCAGGCCACATTTGCTGGAGGAATGATGTTCAGGAGACAGTTTCAGATAACGCCTTCTTCTATTCCCCTCCCTGCTATTTTTCTCCCTTCTTCTTCTTTAAATGCACCAAGAAAACAAACACACTGAGAGGTATGGGGGACAGGAACTCTGATACCTGTGGGTGGGAATGTTCCTTGGTATAACCTTTGTAGAGAGTCCTCGGTAAACCAAATTACAGAGTAGATAGCTTTGACACTGAACTTTTGACTTCAAACACTTAACTCTGGGGTGCATATTCGCTACATTGGTATCCACAATAACAAAATCCGGAAGTAACATAAATGTGCACCATCAGGGGATTGTCTTCATATGCTGCGCACATACCTGTGCATAGAAGATGATGGCGGTCGGTATTGGACCCCATAAGATCCCTTCCCAGCCATTTGGAAGTGCTGGAGGTGTGTGCAGCACTTATATTCTTGGTGTCAAAAAAAAAATGGCAAAATACATTGTATTCATTTGAGAATATACAAATTATCTCTGGGAGCCCCACCTCAGGCCATAGGTAAAGAATTTGTAATATTGATTGTCTATAGGGAGTCCAAAGGGTAGGAGGAAGAGGATGAAGT